GAGGAGATGGATTGTTTAAGTTTAGAGTTTGGAGTTAGAGATATTAATATTTGTTTACTTGTATTTGAATATTAGCCTAGGTTTGGTTTGGGAAGTCCGGGGGGCGGGGGGATGGGATATAACATTGTGTAATATCTGTGATGTATTTCTTTTTTTTATGATGAAAACAATAAAATTTTATATTGAAAAAAAAAGAAAATAAATATCCAGTCTTCCTTATACGTGTTCTGATAATTTCCTATATGTGGAGTTAATGTATTTTTTTTTAAAAAAAGAAGATTGTTAGGAAGCTGCCAGGATTTGTTCTCTCCTTCTGAGAGACAGAAGGATAGAAGTAGATACAACTGCAAATAAATAAATCAAATCCTGGTTAGTTACAGATAATTACAAATAAACCCTAAAGAAGAATTTGCTCAGAATTTCTTTGAGAATACTTTTATTTATACTAAGAATACAATCTGCTAAAATTTCAGGAAAGTCACTGCTCTGCACTCCATTCCAGAGATGAGAATCACTGGCTATTGTCTGTTGTTCTCATACCTATACTTCAGACTTCCCACTAAAAGGCAAATCTAAGTTTCACAAAACCCATGTCATACCTACTTTCTCTTTTCCTTTGTACAAGTACAAAGTATTCTACTTTGTGAGTAGAATACAATAGTTAAAAATAAATATTCCTTAAAAAAAATGTTTGAAAAGAAAACATTCTAGTGTACTTTATGCTTTCAGTTGCATCCCTCAACTTAAACCATTTCAGGATTTTTCCCTCCACACAGCTTTTTTCCCCTTGAGCTTCCCTATGTCCAAAAGATAATATTGAAGAAATGTCAGATTTAGAAAAAAAAAATCTAACAAGTTAGAGATGGTATTGAAAGTAGACTTACAACTGACATGGCAAAGAATGAATTATAGAAGGAAATTTCATTGGATCTAAAAAAAAACACCAAAACCCTAACTGAGCTATTAAAATTTAGAAAGGAAATATAAATGACAAACCTGGAAAATGACCTGGATAACTTTTTCCTATTGGATTTATAAAAGAGACTTGTTAAAACCTTGAAGAGCTTGATGTAATGGGACAAAGAAGAAATGCAGAAGATTTCAACCTCCAGCTCAAATATCCGAATAAAGTCCAGGATTACTTTCATTTCTGAAAAATGTACTGGTTTATTGAATACATGGCATGGTATAGACGAAGGAAAACTAACTCTAAAATCCCAAGGCATCTAACCATAGTATATAACAATGACATTCCCAGCCAAACCCCCCAGATGTCTACGTAGCTCATGTAAACAAATTCTCTTTGTTATGAGAACAGTCTGCTATCTTCTACACATCTGCTAGAATGTCCTTGAAAGATTTCCAGAGAGCCTTCTCTCAGCAAACTACCGCAGAACTGGAAATGTTTCGTTTTTCTAACTAACTTTAGAGAGAGTGAAGATCACTAAAAAAATTTATACTTGTTGAGATGAATGTTTGAAGTCACTTCTTTATATATTTCTTTTCTCTTTCTTCTCTTTTTCTATTTCTTTGCACTTTTTACTTCTATTTTCTTTTCTTTCTGTAAGTTTAGTTTGCATTAAAATTTATATTATGAACAAAATTCTTAATAAAATTACACATTGATAGATAGTAATTGTGTTTACTTCTTCTTGCCTAACCTCCAGGAACTCTGATTATACCATTTGACTTACTTCTGAGGCCCCATTTTTTATATCTGCATAAAAACTCTTATACTTATTGCTAACAGGAATGCAATGTAGAATAGCAAATCATTCTGATTATTTGTGATAGAAATGTTTTAAGGAAGGTATTGTCTTGTCAGCAATTCATTAATAGCATGAAATGGATTACATTTCCAAATATCTGTTTGCATTGGTTTACTTCTAAGTAGATGAGTAAATAATTGGGCTACCTATTAGAGTGCACGGAAAGAGTGAACACTAGGTGTCAGTGTAAGAAATGAGGGGGGGGGGAAACCCTGTTGCTTCCAATCAGGTGGATAAGCTAAAAAACCAGAACCAGCTGTAACCACATTTACTTGTAACTGCATAATACTGTTAACAAGCCAACCTTCCTTAGAAAACTGATTCCCAAACCATCAGGTTCACTTGAAATCAGATAAGTATTAGAAGCCACAATGATTTCTCTCTATTAAATGCCACTGAAGTGGTTGTTAAAATATATCAAAATACCTTATAACATTAGGCACTAATTTATTCCATCAATACTTGTCAAAGATATATTCAGATGGCAGCTGACCATTCCAACTATAACTCTATAAAAGTTCCTTAATAACTGGCATAGGATTTGAGTATTACAGTTGGTAATTTGGAAAGTGTAATTGCTACTGATCAGATTAATTTATTTGGACTGACACAGGACTGGTACGGGCATATGTGGTTGGAATACCCTTGACTATGCAAAATGGTCCATATGGAATTATCATTTATTGAAAAAATAGAAATGTTGATGTTACTTTAAATATAACTGATTCTTAGCCCAAGGATTGCAGTCTGGCAGAATTTTAGCTTAGACTAAAATTGGCAAGTTTTTAAAAATAGTTGTTTTATGCGGAATTGCTACTAAATCAGCATTAATATCCAACTTTTTATTTCACAGTCATCATCACTTATTCACATAAACACCTTCTCTTGAAGCTGCTTTCATAAGTTAGCCACAACTTAGCGGAATTTTTAAAAATTGTCATTTTTATTTTGTAGGATAAAACATAAATTTAAAGCAATGCATAAAAATAGGTAACACTTTGAATTTTAAACATTCAGTGATGACCTTTAGATTCAAGAAAGGAAAGACTGTTCTCTCTCTTGCTGCTTGGGCTATGAAAACCCAAGAAACTTGTGACTGAATTTTAAAATAACCTGCAACTTCTAAATTTTATTTTTATTATGGTTTTATTCTCCTGTAGTATTTCTGTTCTCCTGCACAGGTCAGAATGAGCACTTGGTATCCCATAACACCTCCCCCTCCCCCCCCCAGATAATTGTTTGTATTTACCAGCAAAACAAAGAGCAAAACAAATACAGTTTCTGCAAGGCATAATGCACCTGTTTATCCCATTAAATCATTCTCAGGCCCAGCAAATTTCAGTTCTTTGATGAGAATTTGTATGCAACTTTATCACAGCATCAGGGAGTAGTAGTCCTTATGGATGGATGGATGGATGGATATGATCTGATATGCAGTTTTCAAACTCAGGGTCATAATCCCTTAAAACTCACAGTTAAATTTGAGGGAAAAGGTCAAAGGTTGTTTTGCACACACGAAGCATGCATATAAGACTGATTTTGCTTGTATCCAAATAAAATGCCAGGACTCTTCCCTGCCTTAACTGGACAAAAGAAGAGCAAAGCCAGTGTTTTCTACAGCTGTCGCTACGAAGTGCAAATCCTGATCTATAATAAACTTGCAACAAGAAAGTAAGAGTATCTGTCTCAAAAATAAAACCCAGATTTTTTTTTGAAAGATTTATTTTATTAGAAAACTAAGCAATTCATCCCTCTGTCTGTTTCAGAAGATCTCTCAGTTCTCTGGAGCTCATATTTGGGATACAGAGATGGGAGTATCCAATCTACAAAATTTCCTCATGCAATCTGGAATCAGGGGCAATATCTATCTACCAAAGATTTAGCTTATCAAACAAATTTGAAATTGTTGATTTTGGAGATGGAAAGGAATGAGGCTTTTTAGTTAGCTGCTATAAATTGTAAACTGCTATCTTCAGGAAAAAGCAGTATCAGCACTTCTAAATTTTCTTGTTGACTAATCTTTTGTGGCAATACAGAAAAAATGTATTTGCAAGTATCAAGTGTTCACTTATATCTAAACAGTGATAAATCAAGGAACAAAGAGAAAGTAAAACATGTAAATTTATAATTTAATAAAATATGTGTGGTTCATAATACAACTAAACAATAAAACGTATTAGGTATTAAATAGAATAGATATTCTATTTTGACCATGGCTTCTAAGACAGGAGATAACTAGGAAAAAATATTTTCCCATCTGTACTAATGTTCCATTAAAAGGAACATTTAAAGATATTTGAAATGTATGCAGCTTTTTAAAAAGTTATTGTTAGCTACAAGCACACATTTTTATAAAATTCTTATTTCTTGCATTATTATGTTAAATAGTAACATAACAATTAATGCTACTTCCTAACGCTCTGTTTTTTTCTTTCTTTTTATGACCCTTTAATCCCTTTATTCAGGGTGGAGTCGGGGCAACTGAATGGAGCTAAGCATTTACTGGCCAGATGTCTTTCCTGACACCTACACAAAGTTCGCAGCAGATATTTTCTCTTTAAGCCCTGATAGAGAAACATCTGCCAGTGCCTAGGATTGAACTCTCAACCTTCCAAGTGGGAGGTGAGGGTCTTCACCTCTAGGCCACCACACCACTCCAATTCCTAATGTTCTGATATTCTGTCAAATAAAAATATGGCTTTTTATTCAATTTCTGTGCTTCCAGACTTCTGTACTATTGGACTAAGACAAGTGTGTATTAAGACTGAAGATCCAATTCCTAACCAAATATTAGACAATAATTTAAAAAAATAATTTTTTAAAACAATCACATAAAACAAGGACTTTTTATGATGCCCTACTGGCAAGAAGTGACACTAGCAAATAATTTTCTAAAAGTAGTTAAGCAGTATTTGCCACATATTAACTGACAGTTAATTTCTGATAATGAATTTAGTACATGGGTCAACCTCAACAACAACAACAGCAGCAACAAAAACCTTACCAAATTAATTAGTTGAGTGTGGACAATGTCTTCAACCAATATTGCTGATTTCATTAAAACTGTTGATCTTCTGTTTTCACTTGTTCAACTTCAACAACAACAACAACAGCAACAAAAACCTTACCAAATTAATCAGTTGAGTGTGGACAATGTCTTCAACCAATATTGCTGATTCATGTAGGGGCCTGCGAGCATCTCCTAAGGAAAACCTAAAAGACAATTTACTGTAGTTAGCAAACTTTATAAAAGATAAATATAGAAAGAGAGAGAAAAAGAAATATACTGTATAGTGTTAAATAGTAAAAGAAGAATTAGACCATATGATGCAAATAGATTGAGAAGAAAAAAAAAATGTTAAACCTAAACTCATGGCCTTCATGGCCTTTAGCCTGGGTATAAATCAGGATTTTAAGAATTCTATGCTTAGGAGCAATTAAGCTGTCTCCACATTTCAGTGAATAATTAATAGCTGTATCCACCAAAAATTCCTCCATCTCTAAAATTCAAAAGTTTCTATCAGCTTCCTAAAACATGCCATTAATGTAAGCCTGGTAGTTCAAGCAGGATTTAGGGTACCCAGAAAATTGTTCATAGTCCTATAGTCCATACATTTATCTAATCTCCATCAAAAATAGTAATCACAATATCTTGTGGCAAAGAATAAACTATGACAGCTTCAGAAGCGATTTGAAAATATTTTATGTAACCTTTATCTATACCAATTTTATCTATAGAAGGGGCAAAATCAATGGTGGGATTCAGCCAGTTTGCACCACTTCGGCAGAACCAGTAGCTAATTTTTTGTTGCCCAGGCCCAGAATGGACTTCTGGAAGCGGCATCCACATAGAGAACCGGTTGTTCATATATTTGAATCCCACCACTGGGCAAAATACCCTCTGTAAGATATAAAGCTGATAAATGGGTGGCGGATTCATTTTCCCAACTATTACTGGTTTTGCCTACTGATCCTTCATCATGACGACTCTGTTTTTCCTTCCTGGCTTTTGGTTGCTGGATGCCCAAGCTTATCTGTGATTCCATCCTCTCTATGTTGTTAACCAATATATAATACATACATAGAAGCAGAAACAATGAATTTAATAAAGTAAACATCTCACACTGACTTGAAACTGCTTTTTAAAACGAAAATAAGGCCTAATTAAGCAAAAAAAAATTAAAGGTTTGACCAGAAGTCATAGCAGAATAACACTTTAAAAGCCCTATCCAATGAGGATCACGCAGACAACAAGCCACCATCAGAAGCCTCTCTAGAAAGGATAATGGGATTGTATAAACAAACACTGGAACCAACAATTATTGTAGCTGAGCTTCAACACCAGCAACAAAAAAGAAGATTTCGACTCACCATCAAGAATCCAATATCATAGATGGAAATGAAATGAACGAGTTAGGAAATTCCTATTCGTTTTTAGTTACCTACTCATTGTTCTCATAGTATTTGGTGGGCATTTTATTATTTTCTTTTGTATACAAATGTAGTTGTATACATTATCTATTACGATACAAATTTGATATATAGTTAATCAAAATATTTGTGTTAGTATCTTTTGAATTCCAAAAAGCTTCCAGATACATCTAATAGAGAAACAAAGGAAAATATTTACCAGTGATGCAATATGAAAAATAAAACATTTTCTGAAAGTATTGCATTTTTACATTTTTTCAGTTCTGTCATATTATTGTACTAATGAGCTAATTTCAAGCCATTATTCCCCAACAAAACATTTTTGCCCAGTGTGAACTTTTAACAAAAATAATTTTAATGGGGAGAAAAATGAAGAATAACCATGAGCAAAATTTGGGAGCTATAGCAAAGGGGCTAGCAACCCAGAGTTTTGCTCTTCAGCAATTCATTAAGAAATACACAAATGTAAAAAAAAATATTATTCCTTTGTTGATTTAGAAAGAATGCATGATAAATTATGTTTATTGTACTTATGCCTATTATGCGTATTATAAATTGTTTATTAAATTGTGGAATGTTATGCATGAGTACGTAGTTGAAGGTTGGTTGCTAAACGCAATCAATGTAATATTAGTAGACTATGAGCAAGAACAAATGGAGTGGTTAGTGAAAAGTTCAAGGTTGAGCAAGGAGTAACACAAGGCTCTATTTTGTGCCATTTATTCTTTAATATATTTATAGGTAACCATATAAGAATTGCTGTGGTGATATTGGAAGTGTGATAGTTGGGAATGTGAATACAAATCTGCTTTCGTATACAAATTATACTTATTACTGAAGAAAACCCGAATGCTTAGATAGACTATATGATGTAAAAAGGAGTACAGATCTCAAAAGAAATGTAATAAAGACTAAAACAACTATTAGAATATTTCCTATTTAAGGAAAATAGGGACATTTTAAGATGAACAAAATAGGTATGAGCATTTACGCAACCCCCCCCCCCCCGGCAGCATTTATCCTCTAAATTCCAACTATATGAGAGAAGTTAGAATATACTATGGTTATGGACAAATTTAGGCTCCTGTCGGACCTGCCACAACTCTAAATAAAAATGATCCTTGGCTCCATTTGTTGAGAAATGTATAGTTTATTAGAGATCAAGTATATAGCAGTGGTGCAAAGCCAGATCTGAAAATCGCGCGCCAAATTCCCTATGTTCTACTTTTCCCTCCCTTAAATGTCTGCCATTGCCACCCCAGGGTAATCAATCAGGTCCCGGCATAATGGTCAGTTCAAGTGTAGTTTGGTGTGCTTCCCCCTCTCCTTCTTCCAGCTGGGTGACCTTGAGGCAGTGTCTCAAGGAGACACACTCACAGCAAGCATAAGGTGGCAACTGACTAGCTTCTTCCATGGAGTGGAAACAATGGCTGCATCCTGTAGATAAACCCTTTAAAAATTATTAGGAGAAGTCTTAATGCCATAGTCAGCAAAATGTAGAGCAAGCAAAAACAGAGAATTAATGCCACAAAATTATTTGTATCCTAATGAAAGATGTTTCTGAGGAAGAAAGACCTAGCAACAAACTTCAAAACACTCATGGTGGAGGAACGTGTTCACCATGAGGAATGTCCTCATGGTGGAGGAAGGCACAAACAAAAAATAAAGTAATTGCATTCTGAATTTGCAATCCTGTTAAATGTGATAATCCAGATAATTATCCTCAGGTTTTTGAGTATATGTGGTATATATGTATATGTTTTAAGTGAATATAGTGGCAAGATTATTCTGGCAGCAAAGCAATTAAGGACCAACGGGACTAGTGGTGTGGGTACGTACAATATTCAGGAAAGCAGCATATTTTCCTTGTGCTTACTATCTATGTCTTTCTCTGTCTTTGAGCAAATAGCAATAGCACTTAGACTTATATACCGCTTCACAGTGCTTTACAGCCCTCTCTAAGCAGTTTACAGAGTCAGCCTACTGCCCCCAACAATCTGGGTCCTCATTTTACTGACCTCGGAAGGATGGAAGGATGAGTCAACCTTTAGCCAGTGAGAATTGAACTGCCAAACTGTTGGTAGTCGGAGGTCAGCAGAAGTAGCCGGCACTACTGCATTCTAACCACTGTGCCACCACGGCAAACCTTGATTCATAGGCAATATGGCATGCAGCTGCTCAGAAATCAGTATATTCTCATGTATTCTTTTAAAAAGGTATAAAGATTGTAATCTACTAAAATCAATAATGTTGTGTGTTTTTGTCTTGGAAAATGATACTAATTCACAAAAGACAACCAAGGGAAATGCACAGCAATGCAACAACCAGTGTTTCACATGCAAAGCACAATGACTTTCTACTATGCAACTCAACCTGCTTCCGGAAAAATTTCTTCAGATATTTATGGCTCTACAGAAGCAACCTGATTGAAACAGAAAGAGGAGAAACAAACAAAAAACCAGGAAGAAATCATCTATTTGCATAAAAAGGGCTTGACCTAATAAAGAATTTTTAAAATACAAATTTTCCTATGTAGTTAGGTAGGTAGGTAATTGGGGCAATAATAATGAATAGATTTTTAATAATGAATGGATCTATACTAAACTATAGAGAGCCAATTTGCTGTAGTGATTAAAGGACCAGGCTAGAAACCAGGATACGGTAAGTATTCCCACCTTATGCACAAAGTCAACTGGGTGACCTTGGACCAAATCACTTATTCTCAGCCCAGGAATAAAAAGGCCATGGAAAACCATTTGTGAAAAAGTTGCAAAAAAGCCTAGAGACTTACCTAAGTCTGACTCGAAGACAACCCCACCCCCAAAATCTATTGTGAATCTAGTAGCTCAGATACCAAGACACTAGATATTAGTTGCACTCTATAAAGTAAGTTGCTTTGGAAAATATTAGCTCCTTACATCCTACACAAGAAAGAATGAATGAGTAGAATGTACTGATAAAAAATGTTATCTGACTAATTTATGTCTTATGGTAATGTACACATATAGGTTAGTCTATAGTTCTATTTCTTGTGTGAACTATGTAGATCTACTGAGCTAATTCAATAAACCATGGTTAAATAAATGAATGAGTAAGTTTCTCAAATTCACCCACTAGGTATACAGCAATTAATGGGCTCATCTGGTCCCTAGGTTCGGTGGTGAACCACCCTCTGTAACAATAATTTATCCAATTTAAGAAAGGTATAATACTTCCTAATGCAAGTGCTTTATTGGCCAGAAGAAATAAACTTGTGGTTGATCAACTTTCCACAGAAGAAATGTCATTCGTTTTTTTGAAAAAAATATCCCACTGAATTCAATGAAAGTTACTCCCAGGTAAAATCTAGAATTGCAGCATCTGAGAGAATTGTCTAGTAGTGTTAGCAAAAGGGTTATACTGCATAGTAGCTTTTCATTTAAAGTTTGTCTTAACTCTATTTCTTGTCACCCCTATATAGTAAATACTCTGAATTCAGTAAAGGTGGTTCTCAGTAAAGAAATCTAATATGCAGCTTTTTAGCACTTCCAAGAGTTACATGATGTAGCAATTATGAGAATAAAGTCTTATCAATGGCCCTGTGCATATTCCTACCTTTTTCCTCACCTTCTCACCAGATTCATTACAAAGGAGCAGACCCTCTGGGTAAACCAAGTAAACCGTTAACTAATTCTAGCACTTTAGTTCTTCTATGCATATGTGTTAATCAATCCTAACAAGATTTTAAAAAATAAATAGCAAAGAGCAAAGGTGTTAATTTAATCTCCATTCTTTCCAC